AATTATGCATGTTGCGTATACGCCACGTTGATAAGCTGCAAGACAAGGATCAACAGCAGGTGGGCAGGCAATTCCCAGAGCAGTTTATCAGCAGGCCAACGGCTGAGTGGGCCGTGGGCAACGCCTATCCCATGGCTGTTGATTTTCATGAAAATTATGGCCATGGGCATTCGCCACGGGCGCACTAAAATGGTTTCTTACCCGCTCACTCGCACTCTGGCCGTCTCTCTCTCTCTCGGTCTCGTCCAACATACATACATATGTATGTATGTATTCTGGGCGAATTGTAATTTAAACATTTTGGAGTTGAGCCAAGTAATAATTTGTTGTCCCGACTGTTGCCCGTCGAGGCCAGGCGAATGTCGTATTTTTCGCCGTATTCATTGTAGTTTTGTGCTTGAAAATTGATGCGCATCGCTGCTCGCTGCAAATAAAAATAATACAATACAAGAAAGAAGCCAAGAAAATGCCGTGCTTATCGCATCCCGTTTGGCTTTGCCTGCTCCCCGAGAATAGAGCATTTTATGGCACTCGAACAACATGAAAGTCAAGTGTTGCAGTTGCGCGCAATTATTCGGAGCCCCCTTTGACCCCAGTCTCTTCTATCTCTCACTCCATCCTGCTCTCTCTCTCTCTTTCTCTCTCTCTCGTTCTCTCTCTGTCGGTTGTTGTGGGAATTTCTTTTCGAATCGTTTGGCGCAATAAATTCTATTAAAATGCAATTTGAAGGGTTTGTGATTTTAAATAATGCCAAGACAGTGCTGGGTTAATGCAGCAGGCAGTTCGTTCAGCTGCTATCCTTGCCAATGTTGGTTATCCTTGCCATACCTCTCTCAGCATCTCTTGCACCATCTCCCCAGAGATTTCAACTGTGCCACAAATTCGTTTTTCTGATTCTCATTTTACTTTCCTTGCCGTTGCAGATTGTAATTTATGCAAGAATGCTTCTCTAGGTGCCACTCGGTAATCCAATATCTCTCTGAGTGTGAGTGTTTGTGTGTGTGTGTGAGTGAGAGTTTGAGTGTGTTTATTCACAATATTTATAGCTTATCCACAGCGGTGCCTGCACGTCTGGCTAATTGAACAGCCATTATAGAACGCTATCAGTGCAAAAATTGCCTTGGATCAGTAAAATCGATAGCTGTGCTATTATAGCGAAAAGCCTTAAGAGGGATATACCAACTTGTAGCTGACAGGCAAATATATATGTATATATCTTATGCAGATTGAGATAAAAATCCTTTACTATCTTTTTGTTGCTGAGATTTCTACCTACAATTTCAAAGAGCAAGTCTTAGCAAAAAACATCAACTGAAACAGAAATTGTCACACTCTTGATTGGCCATTGCAATGGCCACAAACACATCTACATTTGTATGTATTATGCATATGATCGTTTCTCTGCTAAACCTACATACACAAATATAATTAACAGACTCTGTATACGTTGCTGCTCTTTCTCTGTTATTTTACAGTTTACTAAGTCTGTTACATTTTGTATGCTGAGAGCTTGATAAAATTGTTGGTGTAACTGGCTGAGTGAGCTTGCGCCACTGTTAAAAGACACAGTAACTGTCTCTCAATCGTGAGCTTGCGCTGCAAGCTCCCCCTTTTCTATCTTCTTACCCCGAGTGGAAGAAAGAGTAAGGTAGCTGTTGCCGAATTTTGCGACTCGCGACTGATGTTTCGGAGTGAGAGAGAGACTGTTGTTTCGGAGTGAGGTATGGCTATATAAACACTTAGCTAGCCTTGTTCTTAATTCAACGATCGAAGAGAAAGCTTCAATTGAGTAAGGACGTGTATTTTAACAGTTCACTGTTGACGATTACTTCTGTTGTATAGTTATCTGAGCGAGCTTGTGTCTTATATGAACGCCGCTCATTATTTGTCTTCGTGAAGTGGGAAAGACAAGGATAAGATGCGCTCTCATTCAGCAGCATTTAAAACTACGTTCAGAAAAAAAATTTAACAAAGCAATTCTCTATTTTGCATTTCCGAAAATTCCAAAGACCAGAAATTCCTTTTACTTATTTATATTTATATTTTGTAGCAAAATACAAATGAATTATTTAATTAAATTCCAGCCTTTGATGAAGTATGTATATGGATTCTTATGAAATAGTTCATTGCAAGAAATTCAATCAAAAAATTGATCAATACCCATTTTTTCTGCCTATAAGCCTACAATATTTTGGCAACGAGTTCATTTCATTTGCTGTCCGAAATAGAACCAGGAATTTTCTGATTTAGCTACGAATAAATCTGGCAATAAATACAAAGTTGCGGAATGGTAGGCATAAAAAAGAGCCTGTAAATTTATGACAATGTCGCATGATAATTTATCAAATAGCAAAAAAATATTTGACCATCTGTTGACTGATAAAACATAAATGCAACATAAAAGCAAATTTGAATGCAGCACAAAAAGTGCGAGCATTTCAATTGTGAATGTAAAAATTGTTGCATGTTGCGCACGTTGCTGTAGTAAATGTTGCAGGCATTTGCTGTTCAAATTGAAATTTAATTCGATTTCATTGTGTGCCTCAAGTTGAGCTTTCTTCTTGCCTTTCAACTGGAGGCCAGAGTTGAATATTATTAATACGCCCCATAAGCCCAATAAATGCGAAGCATTATATGGTTAAAGTTGTCGTTGCTGTGTCCTGTGTCCTGTGTCGCTGTGCAGTTTTTATGGTTATTGTCTTATTGTAATGATCATTAAAATTGGCATTGTTATGAGCCCAGCTATCGTTGTGCCCGCTGAAATTGAACGAACAAGTGCAACAGCAGGCGGCAGCTGCAATGTCAGCTTAATAATTACAGCACACACACACACACACACACACATACAAAATACACAGACACAACAGAGCAGAACAAAAGTTGCAGCTGCACTTTTAAACTGAAAATCCAGCAGCAGCGCTGCATCGGGCAAGGGGAGCTGCAAAAGCTGGCAGCTCAGCGCTGGGGCAAACTTACAGCCATTTGCACGTCGTCAGCGTCGACACATTAAAATAAATGAGACTATGCCGTAAGCAGATACTCCTGTTGTTGTTCATATTGCTGCTGCACCCAGTTGTTATTGTTGTAAAAATACCCGAGCATTTTCACGTTTACCATGCGAAATTACGCGAAAATTACAATGCATAAAAGGCATCGAGCAGCATTTGAGCTGAGCTGCAGTTGAGCTGGATCCTCTGGCATATTCGTGTGCATTGCATAAATGAAAAGGTAGCCCAGCGTTGGTTTAAACTTGGCCAATTGGCAGACTGACGGACTGACGAACTGACCTCCATGTCAGCTTCTTCCTCCTTAATTACATTGCTCAACTTTATGGCAGTGCCAAAGGGTCGCGTTCCGTTCAGCTCGGCTGCTCGTTAATGTTATTCGAAATGTAAATTGAATACTTTGAATCAATCGGACTATATGCTGCAAACGAAGAATATTGTATGGCTGTTACTGTTACTGTTATTTATGGCAAATATGCATTTTTTGCATTTATGTTGGGCTATCACAGAGCTCTAAGGCTAACAAGTATTATTCTGACCTGAATACTTTCTTTTTTTTTGTGAGTTTTTCCCACTCTAAGCTGTATTCAATTTAATTAAAATTCCCGACGAACTACTCCTTCAATCACTGCAAGTTTAATCATGCAAATATTCAAGCCATGCTGCACGACATTAAAGGCTCTCAAAATCTGCTTTAAACACTGCCATATAAACCGTAAGCCATGAACCTAACCCAATAAACCACTTTTGGTGGGTGTTCGTTACGTTGACTGTTGTTGTTGTTGTTGTTGCTGTTGCTGTAGCTGTAGCTGCTGGCTTCAATTTCACACCGCCAACAAGTGACAAGCAAACGAGCAAACACACACACACACACACATACATACATATACGTTGACTCTAGCGACGCATCAAAGTTGGCTGGCAGCTTGCCACAAAAATGCTGCCGGCTACAACAAAAACAAAACGGAAGTCAACAAAGGCGCAATGGCAATATGCGAAGGCTACAACAACAACAACAGCCAGCAACAACAACAACAAACAGTTGAAGAGAAATGTGATCATAACGTGGGCGTCACACGATTCAACGCCCCGAGAGTAGACTATGAATTTTTATGATGAAATTTGCGGTTTTTAATTTGAACGCCGCTCAAAAGCAAAAAACCAAAAACAAACAAAAAACTGACAGAAAAAAAATAAATAAAAATACGCGAAAAACTGTCAACAGGCTGCAATCGTTGAGGGCATGGCCATGTTTTGCCCTGGGCAGCCGTGACACCTTCCTTGGCGCGCGAGAGGGCAACAGCAGCGTGTCCATGTCAGTCATGTTGCCACGCCTGCCACGCCCACGCCCTAGCCGGATATTTATGGCAAAAATGCAAAATTAATGATGTGTGACTTGAAAATTGTCGCAGAAATAAAAAAAAAAAAATGCGAACATGCGAAATTAAATTTGGCGCCTGAAGCTTCAGCCAGCCAAAGGCCGACGAAGCGTTAAATTTCACCAGCGTTGCAGAAAATTCAATAAAAATAATTCAGGCCCAAGCATCTCGTATTACATTACATTTGGCCAGAAGTGGAAGTTCGGATATGCCTGGCTTAGTGTCGAGTCCAGCTAAATTGAATGGGACAACATTGTCTAAAAGAGAGATCATTTTCATGCTAAAGCTGAATAATGATATGAAAATGTCCTCAAGTCTTCATAAAGGAAATATGGTATATAAAACGAGAAAGCATGCAAATTTAGATTAGAGACATTCCTTGCCTATACCTAAGAAATTATTTGTAAAAATTACCAAAGTATGAAGTAAAGTCTTAAGTAAGGGTATCCTTAACCTCAATCTGTCCATCAGGGTATCAACTCAGCTATCCATTTCAAACCATCTAGAAGCTGATAAGCTTTCCCAGCTGCTTTCCTATAAGAACTTAAGAAACTTTTCAAGGCAAACCTTATAGAGGAAAAGTCCCGCCTTTACCCAACAAAGAAATACACCGATCTTGCTTTAATAGTTCTCAGTTTGTATATAAAATGCATACCAAGCAGTCGCCACTGTATGGTTAGCGCTATGTACAATCAAAATTCCTGGACCCGTATTACATTTTTTGATGCGATGCGATATTGTATTATAATAACTACAGCTTTCTAGGGACATTCTCTTTAAATTGTCCGACTATATTACCAGGCGGATGATAATTGCACACCACCCAGGTACGATCCGCTCTGTAGGAAAAAAAAAGATATAAGATATCTAAATTTTTCGATATTCGGACTTGATACGCACCTGCGTGCGACGCCAGCTCCTATATCTGTGCAGGACTTCCAGATCAGTTGTGTGAAATGGCCAGAGGTGGGCGTAAAGTCGGGCTTATCAAAATTGAATGCGTTTATTTCCCGATACCACATATCCACGGGCAGGTCGCCCGTAACATCCATGCCGCCAGACAAAAATATATTCTCGCCGTATTTGGGTTTCGGTCGATGCTCCATAATGTTTTTATCCCGCAAGTGCTGCAAATTGCATCATTAATTAATACTTGGGGCAATTTCTCTCTGCTCGAATCAATAATGACTAATTAAGAACGATTCCCTACATTGGCCCATTCCTGGGCGAGCTTGTTCAGCTCGTTGTTGACCTTCAACTTGGGACAGCCATGCATCTGGCGATACTTGTTGGTCGTTTCGATGACATCCCTGAGGAACTTCTCATTGTTGGCCCTGGTATCCTGACCCAGTGGACCGGGCGTACGCTCGTGCGTTGCCGGTATCGGGGGTGGTCTTCTAGCCATCAAAAATTACAGCTGATGTAGCCTGGCCCAGAAATCGAATTCAACTAAATCCCTTTACTAAGCAATTTTCATAATTTTTTTGAATTTACTTTTGACAGTCCGAAACATGAATACTGAGCAAATTTGTCGACTATAGCTAAAGGCTTAGGAATTTTGTATTCGAAAGTTAAGTAGTAGCAATTGATCAATTGATATAAGAACTTATTCATTAACGTAAGGACATATAATAATATATATATAATATGTTTATATTGAAATGTCGAGTACATAACTCAAATAAATAATATCGTATTAGCTCTACAGTCATGCTTTGCCTCTTCAATTACTTTACTCGAATTTCGCTCAATGAACAAGCATCACATAGTCGATTATGCCCGACTGTAAGCTCCATTTACATTTCTCTCTTTTACTTGTAAATATTTTAAGCAAATAGAATGTGGCCTTCAGTTTTCAGCGGAAACAACTTTTGCCGTGCTTGTTAAAAGTATTGGAAAACTTTTTTGCTCAACTTTTATAAAGCAAAGTATTGTACAGGTTTTTTTTTGCTTTTTCGCTTACAGCAAAGGTTTTAAAGAGTGTTGACTGTTGTGCAACTAATTTACTCATTAAAAACTTGATTTCTCTTTATCAATTATATGATTTAAGTGAATCGACACGCTGCATAGTACACTTGCCCAAATATGCTTACAACCCTTTTAAAGCAGCCGAATCAATGCAACGGAATTCCATGTTTTGTGCCCCCATTTAAGGGGTATTAACAGTTTGATTGATATCCAACGAATGGAACTGTTGGGGCCCCGCATCATTCAGCCATAGATTAGAGATATTCCCAGCGCCAAGTGACGTGCAGCTGTCAGTGGCGCATCCCTCTCAGATATCAGTCACTGGCAGCCATCTAATGATTGGATTAACCCACATGACGTATGAGTGATGTATGAACATTTGCATTAGCAGCGCTAACACAACTCTCCTGACTGGCCTCGCTACGGTTATTAATGAGCTGCCGTTTCTTTTTACGGCTGAGCTGTGGCTGCCACAGCTGGGCGACACTAATTGCCAATTGAGTCAAGTGAAGTGACATGAAGTCAGCTCCTGATGTTGAATGAATATATATATTATTTGGCTATAAAAGGAAAGCAAAGGCGATGTGAAGTGCAAACGAAATTTCGATTGCCAGTGTTAAGTCATGATGCTTGCAGAAAGGCAGACAAAATCAATCAGCTTATCAATAGGTATTACAAAATATTGGCAATCAGAAAACATATTGGCTTTAACTATTTATAAACATTTTTTGCAAAATTTTTGTTCCATAAATTTCATACGATAATATTTTCCCTCATTTTCTTAAGCTGTATATTAATATCATCATTATATTATTTATTATTTATTTTGATATATTTTTAAAAGTATACAAAATAATTTCTATATTTTAACAATCGTCTTTAGAGAAATGTATAATTCTATTTTTATATATATTTTTTTTTAATTAACTTGAAATGTTCCTCATTTTTATATTTGTTAATAATACAATAGTCAAGAATATTTAATGATACATTCCCATTTAGTCCAGTAATACAATAAACGAAATGAATTAAATTATATAACAGGCTTGTAGAGCCCATTGACTTTGCCATATTTATCTTGAATAACTCAAATTGTAATCGTATTCCACATATCCTTCACTTTGCTCACAATCATTTAATTTGTTTATTAATTCCTCTTACAATACACGCATATACATATACACATACACACACCTACACACACACACACCTACATACATAGATTCAATATATGCTTTACAATTTGCATTTCATTTTTTTGTTGCACAGTGTTGGTTTCATGACGTTGATCGGTTTAATTGAATGACAGCTGGTAACTCACTTTAAGCTCAGCTCGGCTGTAATGTGTGAGTTAACTCGTCCATGTCGATGGCTCAAATGTGATTCACATCGAACGGACACATGCGTTTCCATTCGCATTCACAATAGATTTGCGGCACGGCAGGCCACAGTCAAAGCGTGAAACCAAAGCGAGCGTTACTTTTTGTCGATTTAATTAAATTCGCAAATTTGGTTTCTCGCTTAAATATACATATACATATACATATATCTGTATATATGGATTGGCAAACATTTCGTTTTTGCGCCGCGTTTTAATGACAACCGCAACATCTGTTGCCGGATGCACTCGATTGCATATGTACGCACGGCAATTTAACGGCAATTCTACGGGTCTGTTCAGGCATTAAAAATGCCCAACAATTAAAGCTAACTGCACAAAAATGCCATTATATATCTTCTTCTTTTTTTGATCACAATGATATTGGCTGGCGTGTGAATAACAAATGTGCTCATGAACGTGGCAATACAGCTGCCCAACTATGTGTTTAAATTAACAAAGTCATTTTAATCTATGCATGCGACTATATTGCGGACTTCACTCTGAGTTATTGATAAATGCATATACGATTTACAGTAAACATATACATATATGTCATATAAAACTATATTTAAAACATGATGTTAAAGCAGCTTGAAGAAAAGAAAGTATGGAAATAAAAGAAATGAAATTAATAAAGATAATAAATGGAAATACAATATATAAAATATGTAAAATGAAAAAAAAAATATATATATATATATATAATTTAATTAACTAATTTAATTAGCTAAAATAAAAATCATATACATTAGTAAACTTAAATATATATAATATAAAATATGGAATATATAAATAATTAGTAAATAAAATGAATGAATAAAAACTCAAACCATTTTATGCACTGCATTATGATTATTTATTTAAAATTATAAATGTATATATTTTTAACATATTATATAAAAATTAAAAAGCATATATATTAAAAAATAAGTTATTCGAATCCTACTTTCTTTTCGACTTATAGAAAGCATAGGATAACTTTCCTTACTATTCAGATTCAGCCAGATCATGTTCTTTTTTTGAGTAGAGAATCAACTTCAAGATCAAAAGCAGTCTTAAAACATGTTTCTTAGCTGTGTCAAAATTAGAATAGAAACAGGTTTGATAGGTTATACAGCTTGGCAAGCTGCTTGAAAAGCGAATAAAGTCAATTCAGCAATATTTTCAATACTTGAAATATGTTAAACAAATTTCATATCCGAAACAATAACTAAAACTCTCATGAATTTATGATAAATCAATTCACGTAAACAATTGCAGCTGATTGCCAAGCTATAATCTATAAATCCTCTTAGAGATGGAAGATCTCCCTCTCTCTTTCTCTCTCTCTTTCTCTCCCTCTCCTCTCTCTATATTATATATGCAAAATAAGGCAGTAAAATTTAAGCGAAAAGCCCTTCCTCCAACTGCATTGCGCGCACTTTTACACAAGCTGACTGCATCAGAGCTCAGCGCCAATAAAAACGTCTGTCTGTCTGGCAGTTGGCTCCAGACGGGGGCTATACGACTACGTTACGGTTACGGATATTGAGCTGCTGATGCTGTTACTCCGGCTGCTAGCTAGCTGCACTTGTTAACCAGCTCAATTGAATAAACGAAACGGGGCACGGGAAATGGCCAGACATGGGGAGCGCATCAAAAGGATCAGGAATACAGCAAATGAGAGACGGAACTGCAACACCTTATACTGTGTCCGAATTGGGCGGCTGGGCAGCAGTGGGCGTGGCAGCTACAGTGGCTAGCATCGTTGGTAATCCACTTTGGGCGCAGTCGCTTCTTGCCGCGTTCATTTGAGCTGCCAAACATTTTAGCTTTTATGGCCCAAAGGGGCAGAAATATGGCTGACTGGTTGGATGCTTGGCTGACTGACGCTGCTGTGTGTGGGTGTGTCTTTGTGTGTGTGTGAGCGTGGGTGCTTGCTCTAACCGACCCACACACACACACACTTCCTTCATACGGCTGGCTCAAATGCAATTTCCAAAAATATTCTGCGCCACTCCAAAAAGTTCGCTACGAAAAACAAGGTACATGGCACATGAAAATTTGTTGTAGTTTTTCCATTTTTCTCTTTTTTTATATTTTATTGACGGCCGCTTTTTGCCGCTGCGCAAAAGTCGTTGGCTGGAAAAACGCTGGCAAACATTTTTCCGGACATGTGCGAATGGGAAGCCGTAGCTCTAAATACATTCACAAGCGTTTTTATATTCTTTTCGTTATTTTTTGGCTGCTGGCCTAAAACTTTTAAATGTCGTAAACGCTTTTGAGCATGCCAATTTCGTTTTTCCGTTTTCAGACAGCTGTCAATAGAAGTTCGAATATTTGAAAAAGCATTTGCCAAAGCCCTTT